GAGGGTTGACCTCTAAGAAGTCAATTGCAATGCATGAAAAATGTATACACATTTATAAGCTATATATACCCCTGAAGACCAATTAGATTTCTACTTAGGAAATAGAAAAGGTGGGTGAAGATTATTGTTCCTAATGAGCAAAAATCAATAGTATACCTTACTTCTCCTGTCCAAATCCTCATAACATTCACTCTTGCATTCAGGCTTAATTTATTCCTATCTAATGGCCAGTTTTACAACTTTTCCCTATAAATTATGAGAGAATAGATTTATTATTTTACTTATAACCATCATTATTATTATGTTCACCAAGATTAATACTGGCTTCCCTTGAAAGCATCTCTGACTGCATGGCCACCCTCCTGTGCTTCAGTAATACTTTATACATAGCCACTAAAGTGTTGGCTGCAGCTTTCAGGTATATGCACTTCTCCGTTGACTATCCCTGGAGCTTCTTCACAGAAGAAAAGGTAGAGTCACAGCAACGCACTAACCTAAAAGCCTGGACCAGGATAGCACTAATTAGCATATATTTGTAAACTAACTTAATATTCATCAACTAAATTTTTAAGGTGGATCAACTTATATTATTGATTTTCTTAAAACTCAGACTAAGGTTTATAGTTAAACAAAATGATTTAGGAACAGATGGGCTATGGATAATGGCTCCATTGACAGTTTGCCTCTTGTTTTAGTTACTTTTCTGTTGCTGTGATAAAATATATGACCAAAAACAACTTAAGGAAGAATATATTTGAGCTTGAATCTCCAGAGGGCTGGATGTCCACAATGGTGGGGAAGGTATGGTGGAAGGAAGATGAGAGAACATGTCTTAACTGCACAGGAAGCAGAAAGAGCAATGTGGAAGTGGGGCGAGGCTAAAATCTCCCAAAGCTCACCGCCCCCTCCTCCGTGACCCATGTTCAGCCCCATGTTCTGACTGTTCCATAATCTCTCCAAACAACAACAGCAACTGGTAACAAAGTGCTCAAATATGAGCCTATGTGGACATTTCTCATTCAAACTTCCATATCTTTCAAATACCTGTGTGGAAACATGAGGCATGGCTGCAGGTATTTATGACTATGACCCTGGGGAGGCAGAAGGTTACAGGAGCTCACTGGCCAGCTAGCTTGTCTTGCCAAATCCGTGAGCTCCTGGTTCAGTGAGGGACCTTTTCTCAAAAACTAAGATGGAAACCAATGAAAGGAAGACATTTGATGTTGACCTCTGGCCTATATGTATATGTGTGCTTGTGTGTATGTACACATGTGTGTATACCTACACACAGAAACATGTACACAGGCACATACTATACATGTAAACACACACACATACACATGCACTACTATGAGTGGGTACACAATCTGAAAGCATAGAGATGCTTTGAGGCAGGCATGGCTACTGATAATTCTGTGTGAAAGCTGGCTTGTGACCACAGATGCAAGATCACTCTCCTTAAGATTCTCCTTGTCAGAGTCAATTTATATAACATCGGGTTCAACAAACTTCTCTACAGAACCAGATAATAAACATTCTACCAATATTTTGCATTATGTTTGCTGTCTGTTACTACTATAGTTCAAAAGTGGCCCAAAACAACGTGTGAACAGACACTCACAGCTAGGTTCCAGCAAATCAATCTCTACTTCCAAAAACAAAGGGTAAAGGTTCCATCGGTGTTGCTTGCTAACTCTTGATCTGAACTGCATCTTCTTTATACATGATGAAGGAGAAAATAACCACAGACATAGGGATCACAGTAATAAATGTTATGCAAATATTATATCAGACTTTATAAACTTCTTAGATTCAAGGGTAGCCCCATACTGAAGGGAACTGAAATGGTTTGCAATGCCTGTCTTCAGAAAAGTTTGGTAACTTTTTACATAAGCTTTAAAATGCAGTTCTCTACTTCCTACTCTTGTTTTCACAAGAGAGTAGGAATGTTGAAAGCTCTGCCTAAGGAAGAAACTTTCAAAAGGAGCTAGCTGCAGTAGCGTCTGTGTGGCATCCCCTTGGAGGACTGAACAATGCTTCCGGACTGACCTGGACAGGAAGTCTGTGAAGGATGGGCGCACTGGGTATCCATAGCGGAAGAGCTTCACCAGCTCCAGGACGCCGAGGTACTGCAACTGTGCAGACACATAGAAGTGGTCAAATGTGCCTGGCAGCTGCGAGGTGTTGGGCTTGATGCAATGGACGAAGTGTGGACTGCTTTTCTGTAGCTTCCCAGTGATGTCTGCCAGAGATTTCTGTGTAAAGAGGGAACGTAGTTGACTCTCCAGGGAAACACTGACTGGAAATACCGTGCAGCTTAAACAGGGATCTCTGCATTCAGTCTAAGACACTTTTGTGTATTATGCATTTGTTCACCTGGGGGGTTGGACTTTCTTCTGAAGTTACTCAAGTTGCCAAAACGGAAAAGAAAATTTAACATAAACACTTTATGGTTCAAACAAACACACCGGGCTTTTGAATCTGAAAGAGTCACTAACCCTGAGTTGTGATGCTGTGGTGATGGGGTCTCCTCGTTCCAGTCTTTGAAGGAAAGTGGAAGAGCCTTTCTTTTTTAATAACTGAAAGAGAGAGGGGGAGAGTGAAAGAGAGAGAGAAAGAGAGAGAGAGAGAGAGAGAATGAGATTGATTTTACTGGATTTTGATGTCAAAGGAAAAAGAGATAGAATAAGCCTTACACCCATGCCAATGAAATTATAGACATATAAAACAGATCATAAAAATCAACACCAAAGGACATTTATGATGTTTACTCGATTGGGGAAATGGGCAGCCATGTATCAAGTAACATTCATTGCTGCTAACTCTTTAAGTGCAGAACTATTACTTAAATCAGACTTCCCACTCATCTGCACCCATCTTAATTTCAGAAAAAAAAAAAACAACCATAGATTCTGACCAGCACAAGAAATGCCCTGCTGTATTCTGGTTATGTCACTAGCTGTTCATATTAATTGTTCATATTAATTAAATGTGTAATAGCTTATCCTGGGGCTAACAAGATGTGCTATTCTCTACAAAGGTGATGTTTCTATAGTTGTTAGCATGTCCCCTTAGATTAATACAGTTATCATAACACAGGTGTATGGGTCTGGGGCACTGTTGCCCAGGTTTTCTTTCCTCTCCTTTATTTCTTCCTCCTTTTTTCAAACTGCTAAAATGGGTGCGTTAGTAAGTTACCTCTCTGTGAAAACTGATGATAGACCGTTTTCTTCAAAAAATAATTAAACACAGTTTCTAAAAATATCACATGTAGTAAAGATTAAATGATAGTGGAAAAATTTAAAAATCAGTAGAAATGGAGCCATTGAGTGAAGAGGTAAAGGGCGAAATGTAATTAATTAAATTCCACCAGGGTTGAAAGAAAGTGCCCACTACATTGCAGAGAATCAGGCAATCCTAGACTAACATATCTACTGGTCTAAAATGGTTCCTCTTAACGCCAAAAGGTGGAAAAAAACTTCTGCTAACACACATTCATGCACTTGATAGAACCAGGAGGACAGTGGCTCATTTCCTTCCATTAGGATGAAGCATCTACGGCAGTGATTAATTGTGGCTGACAAGGGGATATAAAATGAAACAGTTGGTCCAGGATCAACCTGTTTTACACACTCAATGTTACAAGACACATCCAGTTAAAGAGTGAGTAAAATTTTGTTTTCCTGGCCCAGAGGCAGATGTGTTAGGCTAAGAACAGTTTGAAGGGGAAAATAAGTGAAGTGGGAAGCACCTCAGCACTTGAAGAATCATGCTAAAACATAAATCTCCAATCTGGACCAGAGCATACAGTTTCTCTTTCTGGGTAGAGGCACTCCTGTGAATTATTTCCCTTTTCTAATTCTTCAGGGAAAAGCCTAATGGCATCCAGGCCTCATAATGTTTAATAATTGAGGTTAACAATCATGGTTTAGAGGTGTTTGGTGATTTCTTACTCTTCATTTTCAGTATGGCTGAAAAAGGAAAGGCCAGAAGGTGTCCAAGACCTTCAGGAATAAAGCTCTTCCTACAGAGAGAACCCTTTGTCTTTTCAGTGTATAGAGCATGCATTTCTATGTGGAGAGACAGAAGTCTTGTGATCATCCAGTTCATCAAAGGGTCTGTAATCCTAGGATTGGCTGGTTAAAGATACACACACGCACACACAAATACACACACACACACAGATACACCTCCACATGTACACACACACATACACACATGTACACACATACACAAACAAGTGTATTCATATGCACATGCATGCACGCGTATACATACACGCATATATACACATAAACACATATACACACACCTGTCACTTTTCTAAACTATCATTTTAAATTCTTTCATTTTAATTAAAGAGCTAAGATATATTTGAAAATGCAGCAACAACCGCATTTTCAAAACTGATTGCTCTCAACACTTTCCAAATTACACATCTCCTCCTCTATATTTTGGTAGAAATAAGCATGAGAATTTGAAAGCAGTCTGGCCTTGTAGTTTCAGGAAATATAAAGCAATGCATACAGATTTCTTGAGCCACTTGCAATAACTCTTTACAGAATTTTTGGCTCTCTTTTACAACTAGAACTTTTAGGTTGTATGAAGTATCAAATGCATGTGAAATAAACAATACTAAAAATTAATATAATACAAAATTAAATTCAAAGTCTACAAATACATGCTGAAAATATTCTAGCACTCAAAAACATCAGAAAATAACAATACTGTTACAAACCCCAAACCTTGGAAGTGATCACATCAACAGGCTAAGCTACCTAAGTTTATTTCTTCTAAGCCTGTTGCCTCAAATTCTTTTCCATTCATCAAAAAAGATGGTTATATGATCTCTCCTCAAACAGTTTTAACTTAGGAAGGCATCTTCCGAGTTAGCATTGACTATCAACTTTACACAGCCTAGAATTACCTGAAACAAAGAGGCTCAGTTGGTCTGTGGACATGTTTATGAGAGGTTGTCTTCACTGTCCTAACTAATGTAGGAGGGCCCAGCCTGCTGTGGGTGGTGTCATTCCCTGGGCAGGTGGTCCTGGTTCATATAGGAAAGCTAGCTGAGCATGAACCAGAGAGTGAGACAGAGAATGAACCAAGAAGCAGTGCTCCTCATGGCTTCTGCTTCAGATTCCTGTCTTGAGTTCCTACCCTTAATTCCCCCTGTGATGGGCTGTGGTCCGAAAGTGGGAAATGGAATGAGGTCTTTCCTCCCCCAAGTTGCCTTTGGTCAACAGAGAGCAAACTGAATGAGATCTGTATTAAACTGCGTGCTGTGGAGAAAAGGATAAATTACACTAAGTAACCTAAACACAGCAAAAATAAGAGCCACAAAAGCTCCTACCTTAGTAAGTTCTAGATAATTCTTGTTTACTCCAATACTTGGAGAGGCTGTGGTTCTCTTGCTTAGCAGGGTGGATTTATGTCCTTGGAATTTAAAGGAAGGGTAGGAAGATACGAGGGATCCCGTTTGTGACAGTTTCGACTGGAACAAATGATTGATCACAACATTTTCACTAGCTAGGAAAAAGATAAATGAACATTGTAAGTGCCATTGAAATCATTGAGCATTAAACATACACTTTCATGGAAAAGCTTTAATCACTCCCACATTTTGTATGGAGATGTCATTGGTACAATGGACCGTGGAGTCTTTTCTGTCCTGTGGTTCTGTTTTGCTCATTCTTTTTGACAGATGGTGATCTTTATTGCCCTTGGCTGGAGTCATAATCACACCTTCCCCACCTGTGCTCCTGACCCTTTGCTCTCTAAAGAGTATACTTCCTCCTATCTTGGTTGTAGGCACTTAATTTTACCAGCTCAAACCTGACAGGCTTTTGTACACTTGAACAGTCAGGACAACCTGTGAGTTTTGGCAGCAATTCCCCATTGCAAGAAAATAACCATCCTGGAAAACATTTTACCAGTTCTAGCCTGTTTCAGAGGGGCTTTTAAATACCTGGGGAGACCCTGTCCCATCTCATTGTTATGTGTTATTAGGTTAAAGAAGGCACAAATGAAGTTTCTCTCCTTCTGACCCAGTTCAGCTGCAAAGGTAAAAACCATCTGACATGGTTTAGACACTAGTCTTCACAGATCTAATTGTCTGAAGTATAGATTGTTGGCCCAGACACAGGAAGAGCTGGAGCTGAGACAGGTGGGTGTTGGATTATGAATCCAAAGAGTAATAGTACAGGGGAAACAATGTGTATGGTGAGTAAAGATCTGGTAGAAGCATGCCTTGTATTCCTGATGTCTGTATATAGAGAGCTTCTGAGCCCAAGTGGCTTTCTAAAAGCAAAATGACAACAAAATGACAGCACCTAACTTGAAAGTTACTGCAAACTTAAAGTGTGAAATACTACAATAAAAGGTATAGGTCATTGAAGATCAGGCTCAGTCAGTCAGACACTTCATAATTTTTTTTTAATTTATTTATTTGTATTTTATGTTTATGCATGTATTGCCTGCATGTATGCTTTACATTAAATTAGTTTCTACCTTTTCACACACAAAAACCCATAGATAACATACATATAATACACATATGTGTATACATTAATAATATCTTCAGTAAAATTTGCTGTATTAACAAACAAGCAGGAAGAGACAGCTGTCAGAGAAGGGAGGTGTAGCTGTAGAAGGAACAGCCAAGAGGGAACTCTGTGGTATTGGGTTGAAATTACAGGTTGCAGGAGAAATTCGTGGTTTTTAGTAGACAGCTATATATTTATACATTATTTGCATGCGTGCCTTGGCTTACACTTTTCGAGTCCTGAAGAGGTCTAAAAGGAATACTCCATGGCAGCCATGAGCTCACCCAGCCCCAGGCCTTGTGGTTCCTCAATACCAATTCTCCATTAGATAGATCAAGTTTTCCTAAACAAACTGCTAACTCTACATTATAGATAAATAAGGAAGGACAAGTCCTTCTTTGTCCTTTCAGTGACAAGGAAGCTGGTCACTGAAGAAGTTTGGGAAGAAGTTTCAGGAAGTACTGAAAAAGGTACCTGTCAGAAAGATGTGGGAGCTGGTAGGGTGGTGGAGGTTCCGATGGCTGAGTATTAGATAATTCCAGCCCTGAAATAATGATATCGACCATGATTCAAGACTAAGATAACAGTCCATGAATCCATCCTAACAAAGAAACTAATCAATAAAGGGAAAATAGGAGTGCTCTGATAGAACCCCACCATCGATGGAGAAACTGAGTTTTATAGCCATAGGGAAAATCTTGTTTTAAACAACAGTTATATTATTCTATGCAAGATAATATGTGAAGCTTTGATGGGACAGAATGTTTAATTAATCTTAAAGTGCTTTCTTAAAGAATATTCCTCAATGACAAAGAAACAATAGCAACTTTAAACCAAGAGAACCTTAAGACTACATCCTACCCAGGTGGAAGAGGGGACTGCCACCCTTGAATCAGGTGATTGCCCTTGGAGTAGGGAACACTGAGCACCCCACGTTTGGGGGATTCCTGATTCTAGTACAAGAACACCCTAAAGAACCACAAGTTGACAGACATTGCTCAAAATAACCGGCCTTGAAGTTTTTTAATAACACTAAGGAAGATGATGAAAACTTTGACTGCTGCTCAAGATCACAGATCTTCAATTAGACATGACCTTGAGTTGGGAGAAAACACCAGAGGAGCTGTGAGTGCTGGAACAGCAAACATCTGCATGGACTCTGATTAGGTATCACTGTTGTGGTTGTTTGAATGAAAATGTCCCCCATAGGCTCCAAGTATTTGGACATTTTGTCCCCAGATGATGGCGCTGTTTGGGAGGTTTAAGAATGTGTGGCTATCCTAGAGGAAGCACGTCACTGGGGGTGGGCTTAGAGAGTTCTTAAGCCTTGCCAGATCTCCAGTTGCATTCCTGCTTCCTGTGCCTGCATGATGATGTGAGAGCTTAGCTCTGCTGCTCCTGCTCCAGCCACCTCCAGCCACCATGCCTCCCTGCTATGATGGACTCTAATTCCCCTGGAACCATAAGCTCAAATAAACTCTTCCTTCCATAAATTGCTTGGGTCAGTGTTTCTATCAAAGCAACAGAAAAGTGACTAGTACAACTATTATATCAATGAGCACTCTTTTGATCATTTACCAAGTGGGTAGAAGATAATTTCCACATGCCAAAGCACTGCATGAAATATGTAGAGAGTAAGAAGTAAGCAATTTATTCTGAAATGTTTCAGAAAACACATGGAAGAGAGAGGGGCAGAGGTGAAGACAGAAAGATGGGTGATGAAAATATTCATCTGAAGAAAATAGGTTTGGGAGTTTTAAGTTAAATTTCTTTTTGATTTATTTATTTTTATATTTTGTGTGTGAGTGTTTTGCCTGAAAGTATGTAAGTGCACCCGTGTTGTACAGAAGTCAGAAGAGTGCACTGGATCCCTAGAACTGGAGTTTTCGACAGTTGTTAGCTGCCGTGTGGGTGCTAATGTTCCCAGCACAGGAACCAAATCCAAGTTCTCTCCAAGAGTAGTGTGAGTGCTCTTGACTGCTGAGCCATCCCTCCAGACCCATTTTTTAAAGTTTAAGTTCCAAACCTCAAAATAACAAATTAAGAAATAGACATAAACCATGACTCATTTAAAGATATAGTTAATTATCGAATGTATTTACAGCAAATGCTTGCTTGTGTGTATATGTGTATGTGTGTGCACATGTACGTATAAGGACCTACACATGAATATGAATGACAGATGCATTATTCTTTCAGTAGAAGTAGAAATGCCCTGAATAAATCTAAAAAACACTAGACATAAATACAGACCAGCATATTTCTCTGGCCCATTTTTGTCTTTTCTCTAAATCACACGGGCAGGCTACATGAAGATGAGGCAGGAACTTCAGTCTAACTAACACAGGCTGAGGTCTTCATGGGCTTCCCTTGTGAACTGTGGCCATGAGCACATGAACGAGGAGAAAGCAGTCAATCACCAGATGTTCTGCCCTCCCTGTGCTCTTAGAGTTGCGTGAGGGAAATTCCCGGGGAAGAGGCAGTTTTATCTTCTTTCCTTTTTTAAGGAGCTAATTACTGCAAATCTTCGTGTAGCATCGTACACACACAGAAATAGGAAACATCCCTTAGCAGAACTGACTGCATTTGCACATGGCCCTTTCTGTTTTATAATGGGATGAGCTAACACGCAGCCCTGATTGATAATCATACATAAAGAAATACAGTGAAGAAAATGACTCAAAAATTGTTAACAATTATTCTCCAGTTTTCCTATGCTCAGAAGCAGGGAAACTAGTCTATATTTAATTCTTCCCACTGTCTGAGTCTGGAGAATTTGCTTCTATTTGTAGGTGTATTTGCTACATTCCTCCATTAGCTGTGTCTTCAAATTCCCTGGCTTCTGTTGACTAGATCTCTCAAAGAAATAGCTCTGCTTACACAGAGCTTTCATAGATAGACACTTAATATTCTTCAAAGGTAGAACGACACCTTCCTCAAAGATAGACCTCACCATACCTTCCTCAAAGATAATGCCTTCCTTAATTGGGGCTTTCTAACGAGAAGAGGGTTGCACAGGATATTACTGACATTTGTACCTCTTTGTAACTGTGGCATCATAATCTGCAGATTCGTATAATACTATTACATCCATGTGTCTTTTGCCGGAGTGATGAAATGTGTGAGCAACTACAGTCTGTAGGCCAAGCCTAGCCACTGCACGTGTCTGTAAAAACCGTTCTACTGGGCACCGCTGTATGACTGAGCATGATTTGTAGCTACTGTCCCATTAAGCCAGGGGAGGTGGGTAACTGCAGTGACACTGTTATGGTTTCCAAAGCCTAAAATACAGTCTGTAACACTCCATAGGAAACACCCAGCTCCTCATGCATGAATCCATAGTAGCCCATTGTCAAGTCTGCTGAGAATAAAACATATTCATCTGTGTTTTCTTGGAACATGTTAACAAGTGCATACAAAAGAATGACTTTAAAATACAGGCACTCTAATAAGCCAAGCAAGATTATACCATTTCTAGTCATCACATTTGAAATGCATAAGCATGTGCTCTATCACTGTGAAATATGAATGAAGCAAAAAAAAATGTGCCAGCTTCTAAAACATGCTCTAAATATCTGAACTTCACAAAAGAGAAAATGAAAGTTGAAAGCAAAAGCTCAGGTAACTCCAAGGAAGATACTTCCAATAGTAGAGTGAGGCTGGTCCTTCCAATTCTTCCTTTCTTTGTGGTTTTATCCCCACCTATGTTTCTATGTAGCGTCTCAGCCGGGAGGACTCACAATAGCTGCGTGTCTGAGAGAAAAACGGAACTGGGCTGTGTGTAGACAGTGTGTCACAGGTGTGCAGCTGTGATGTGACAGTGATGCCCTCATGTCAGCGGCAGTGCAGACCCCCGACCTCCAACTCAAAGGTAGCTAAGCATTTTATGCAATGTTCTTATTCTAGGAAAGACAAATGCCTCTGTCTCGCAACAGTTTAACTCTTGCTTTCAATGGCTATTAGAAAAATGGGAATCACCATAGAGATGCTATTAAGAAAATAGAGGAGATAGAATTATATATATATAATTGTGATATATAAATTTAGAATATAGTTTTATATATTGACTAGATTTATAGTCAATATATGTATATAAAATATTAATGCCTGCTAAGTAGAGGGAGCCAATACATACATACATACATACATATATATATATATGTGTGTGTGTGTGTATGTGTGTAAACTGATCAGCTTTTTGTACTTAGTGGGCATTAATACTTTATAACTGAAGGTACCTAAGGATAAAATACCACCCTAGCAGTACTCCAGAGTCACCTTAAGTAATGGAATTTACCCTGATGTGGCCTAAATAACGTTGGAAGCCACATTCATCTTCTTTAGTCTTCGCAGAAGAGCTATTTCATATTCACACCACTAAAGTGGTAAAGGTATTTTATATTCCTAGCTGCTAAAAGCTTAGTCAAATTCCGGCTTCTACTGGACTCCAAATTAAATTGTAATCAATGTATAGTATGGGGACACCCATTCTTCCTTATCCTGACATCAGAGTATAAATGATCTCTCAATTACCCTTTGGGTATATTTTACAGGAAAATGTTAGGAGATCAAGGAATAAGGACTGTGGCATTTTAACCAGTTTATGGGGAGAAAATCAACTTACTTTTCATTACAAATAGAAGGTTCTGTGAAAGGGCGTCTTTATTTCTTTCAATTGCTCCACCAATTTCATACATTACCTATAATAAAACAAAATGGTATAATTATTAAGGATTAAACGTGACCATGAAAAATTCCTTTAAAAATAGTTTGGTTTAGTTGTGGTTTTAAATTATTCATGAATAATTCAGGTTTCAGAGTTCAGGTTACATGTAAGGGCAAAGCTTGTTACCCAGATGGCCCTGGCCAGAACATGTATTACCAGACTACAATGTGAGATAATTTTTATGTTACATCACATTAGACAGCCATTGTTCAATGTGAACAGCTTTAAATACTATGGAACAGTCTTTCTCATCAAGGTTGATCATGATCTCCAAAAGGCTCTTGTCAGTAACTGGACACATTTTTATTTGACATAGTCAGGGGAACAGTGGACAGAGGTGTTGAACACCCTATGATGCTTAAAAATCCTGCCACAGTGAATAATTATTAAACCCCTAACAGTCACAGTATTGTGGTGAAAGGCCTTAGTCTAGAATTATGGCTTCACTGTGCTTTCTATGTTAGGACTGGCAGTGCCCAGCAATACCATAATAGAAAAGTCATCTTATCTTTGTATCACCATGGATCTACATGGACTCTAACAGCCCTCTAATGTCCCCGAATTCTAAGTTTTAATTAGTAAAATGGTAGTAGATACCCTTCCATATAGCTAATACTGTAGTGGAATGGACATGAAAGTTCCTGGCAAACCCTCCAAAAGTTAGATAGAAAGTCTAATGTGCTGTTCCATCACCTAGCTAGGTCCATGTAACTTTGTTTAGCCCTTAGTCCAACCCACTTCTGGATAATTAATGAAAACTGAGCTCACTTTCTCCTGAAATAGCTGTCAAAGTTGTGAGAGCCAGGTACAGCTTTTAGCATTGTTCCCAGATTCTCCCAATGCTATTCCAACTGCACTGAGTGGTTTGGGAAGCCGATGTTCCTCCACTGACTTCCTTCTTCCCAACTCCACAGTTCTCTGGTACAGATACTGGAAGAGCTCTAAGACCAAGATACTCAAACCAGAACTCTTTTCTCTAGTGGGAGATGATGTCTTCTCACTCTCTGAACTTGTCCTCCATCCCTACCTCTTATCCTTCACTTTCTCCTCAGCTCTGAGATCAACACCTCACCCATCTTCTTTCAGGTCTCAGCAGGACCCAGGACTCAGGAGAGGGCATTGGACTGTTTCCTGTTCCTAACACTAACTAGTGTCAGAGACAGTCATGTGTCTCACTATAGAGGTGACCTCTGCATCAACCACCTCATGCTGAGGTTTCAGACTGACTCTCTTTGGCTAAGAGTTTCCTGATTCAGTTTGCAATGACATCACATTACTGTACCCCTAGTAACTGTCAAGAGTATTTTGGCTGTTCTTTAAGTTTTCAGCTCCTAAGTTCACTGATTCTTGGTAGTTTATGTTATTTCTTAGTTTCAAGAAACATTAAGATTCTCTCACTTGAAAATACCTCTGAAGTGGGCTTTGCTCTCCAAACAGCTCTTGTTTCTATCTTCTGCACAGTATAAAGGTGGAGTACTTGATGTGACCAGTCCTCTCTAGGACCCTCTGTGCCATCCACCAATGGCTACAACTTCCTCATTGCTCCTCCAGTCTCTACTTTTTCACCCCTACTGACTTTACACTAGCAAAAGTACTACTTATTATTTTCACTGACAAATAATAAAATGTCCACAAGACTATCTCACTTCTGCCTTCCACATTCTCCTCTGGGTTCTTGTCTACTCCACTGTTAGATGGGTACACTGACCTGTGAACATGGTTTACACAGAACCCCTGTGATCCTGTTATATTATATCGTTCTAGTCTATAATATCAGCCCATTTTCTTCACATACACAGGCATGTGTACATGCACAGCACACACACGCACACAACTGCCCTTACTGATTTCCTGTGAACTCACTATCTACCTGTCTCCTATTAGTAGCCCTTGTCATACTGGCCCCTTCTAACCTCACTAGTAAGTCTGCTGCCACATGTCCTGCCATGCCTGCTTGTTTGTTGATCAGCTCACTCTCCACAGTAACTAACAGAATGCCTTGTTCATGTGGGCATGCATGATGAATATTTAGTGACATTGACAGGAACCTTTGCTGTGGAGTGACTGAGAATACTGTGCCACTGTGTGGCCATTCAACATTATTCAGGCCAGGTGTGATGATGCACTCCTTTGATCTCCACACTCTGAAGGCAGAGGCAGGTGGATCTTTGAGAGATCAATCCAAGCTGGTCTACATAACAAATTTCAGGCCAGATACAGGGCTACAGGGAGACTCTGTCAAAAGAAAAGAAAAGAAAAAAAAGGAAGAAGAAATAAAGAAAACAGATAATTCAGATAATTCAGATAAGGATTGAAGGGGTCATGGGGAGAATCTGAGGCTTTGAACCCCAAGAGGCAAGAAAAGACCACTGGTAAAGGTGTAGCCTCAGTTTCAGTGGAGACCGCAGCTTTTTGGAGATGCCAGGACCATGGGATGACCACAAGGGCAGCAGCAGGTGTGGAATGGAGCTGGCCTGGGTCTTTGAGACAAGCTGTGTGTACTGTGGATGGCAGAGTCAGAGCAGTGGAGCTGCCAGAACCCTTTGGAGCCCAGAAGATCATGAGTGAATCCCAGATGTCCAGCCTTGAGCTACTTTGCTGGACTTTGGTTTTGCTTAGGTGTGCCCGATTCTTCCCTTTGAAATAAGATAGTACTTGTTTTGGATTTTACAGGACCCTGCACTTAAGAGACTTTCAAAAGAGACTATGGACTTTTAAGTGTTTGAATTTTTTAAGGACTGTGGGGCTTTTAAGGTTGTACTGTCTTATGTTGTGATATTAATGTTAACATCATGTCTTGGGGGGCAAGCATTGGAAAGGTTATGGCTTAATAATGATGTGTTTATGTGTCAAGTTGGCAAGGGGTCAATTGTGCTGGATAGCTTTAGTGTCAACTTGACACACCTGGGCTGAGGGAGCCTCAACTGGGGAATTGCCTCCATTGAACTGGCCTGTGGCCATGTCTGTGGGGCATCTTCTTGATTGTTGAGTGATGTGGGAGTGCCCAGCCCACTGTGGGTGGTGCCACCCCTGGGTAGGTGGGTTGCATAAGAAAGCAGGGTGAGCAGGGGCCAGTGGAGCAAGCCAGTAAGCAGCATTCCTCCATGGCCTGTGTCCCAGCTCCTGCCTCAGGTTTTTGCCCTGAGTTCCCATCTTGGGCTCCCTGATGAACTGTAACCCGGGAGATGTGACAAATAAACCCTTTCCTTCCCAAACTGGTAGTGGCCAGAGTGTTTTGTCACAGCAATGGAGAAACAAGCTATATCAGTACCACACAAATTTTATAATAATATTGAGTATGTTTCTACATCTACAAAAATATATGTTTTGAGACTAGGTCTCACTAACTGACCACCCTCTGGCTTCTGCCTCCTTAATGCAAAGATTATAGACAGGTATGTTTCACCGTACCTATCTACATACATACATCTACCAAACTTTGGCTGCGATTTTCACCGAAAATGCATATATTTGTTTGTCAACTTGGGGAGAACTGGTTACACTGATTATTACTAAGCTGACGACTCCTGTGCTGTCTTGTAACCATGAACATGGTAAACCTCTTCCTATAAACATCCTAGACGCTTCTTCTATCAACATAGTTTTGCTATTCAGGTAGGCTTTCTATATATATAGTTTATGAGATTTATTTTATCTAAGTGTTGATTTATTTATAAGTGACTATAAATGTTATCATATGTTTAAATTCAGTGTCCACTAATTACAGGAAAATGTCTAATGTCTCTCCTGGACTCATTTCTCCTATGAGGATTTTTTAGTCGATTACGATGTTGTGCACTGGCATTTATGCCATGTATAAACAGTCATGGGCTTATTTCTTCCTTTCCAATCTGTCTGCCTTTAGTTTCCTTTGCTGCCTCATTAGACTCACGAGAACCTCCAATGCTTATGCAGTAGAGTAGTGAGAGCCAAAATCTTTCCTTTCTTTTTGATCTTAGAAGTAAAACACCCAGTCTTCACCATTGTGCATAACATTGGCAGTGGCCTGGTCTAGATGCCCTTTCTCCAGATGACGTTGTCCCTTCATGGCTGTCTTTCTTAGGATTACACACAGTCTTAGGAATGGACTGCTGTACATACTCTATCTTGGGGTGACATTGCCTCCTCTAGTGCTGTCTTTCTTTGAACTTTTGTCATGAATGGATGATGAATTTTATCAAATGATTTTTCTGTATCCAAAAATCATATCATGACATGATTTTTCTTCTTTATCTTATTAATATATGATGGATTACTTCAGATTATTTTCAAATAAATGGCTGAGGTGGATAACATTTTAACAAATTGCTGAATTGTGTTTGCTAATATTTTTCTAGTGTTTTTTGAATCTCTGTTCTTGAGGGAGATTTGCCTTTAGTGTTATGGTGTGTGCACACATGTGTTCATGCTTGCATAATAGCCGTCTTCTGGTTTTCGTATCGGGGTAATAATACCAGCTTTACAAAACAAATTGGAAAGTCTTCTGTCTTCTATTTTCTGGATCAGACTGTGGAAAGTTGGTGTTAATTTTCTTTTAAACATTTCGTAGAAATCTCCAGTTAAGCCATATGGAAGAGGGAGATTTCCTTTTGGGGGAGTTTTAAAATTTTAAATTCCTTTCCTTGATGGGCCTGTTTAAAAGATCTGTTTCACACAGGGTAAGCTGAGGTAGCTGTGCTGTCTGAGGAACTGGTCTGTTTTTACTACGCCATCTGAATCTGTGAGAGTTCCTTGTAGATTCGCTTTTGATCTTTTACACTGGCAGGGTCTGCAGACATATTTTCAGTCCTATTCCTGATGTTGGCTATTTTTGTCTTCTCTCTCCTTCCTTCTTTTCCAACCTTACTAGGTGTTTATCACTTTCATCCACGTTTTCAAAGGAGAAGCTCATTTTCTCCTATTTTCTTGTTGTTTGAGAATTCATGCACACATAGAATAGAATAGAGCATCTCTCAATTCTCACCAGAGAAGCTT